AATCTCTGGATTGGGATTTAAACCAAAGACCTTGCAACTCAGAGATGAATGTGCTACTCAGTGAGCCACAAAATTATTGATCGGATTGTATTTTACTTTCCTGTCTGGACATATCCAAGTTTTAAATATGGGGACAGGGACAAACCCATACTTTATTACCTGTGTTCAGCTCCTTAGGTTGTTTATAAGTTGCTTTCCTTTAATGAAAAATTGATGAATCACAGAAAACATCCTAATACATCATAAAACTCTTTGGGGGTACAACCAGACTTACCATTAGGGACGTCTGAGGTATACGCTGGGCCAGAGCCCCGGCATGGAGGTGAGTCCAGTGTTCTGTACAGATCAAAGCCATGCATCTTCCAAGGCTCTGTAGTGGTGTTCATGCATAATTGTGATTCTGCCATACGGTACAGATCAAATCTATGTGACTTCAGTGTCTCAGGAATCAAAAAACTTTGAGGTTGGTGAGGCTGCAAGACATAGAAAAACAATTTGGTTATCCACTTAGTGGTGCATTGTACTGGCTAAATCTAGCAGAGTGTCGAAAATGGAGGGGTGAGCTGTTTGAGGTCGTTCAGTTTAAATGGTAAAAGTTCAATAAACCAAATACAGAGAGTCTTCCTCTGTTAGGTGAATCCAAACAAGGGCATATAACCTTGAAAACATAGGACATAGGACTTGAACAGGCCTTAAAGTCCCTCAAATCTACATTCATGCATTCATCTGGGTTCAGTTAATTTCCTCTCAGGTCCTTGATTTTCTTGAAAGACCAAAAACCTGTTTATCTCCGCCTTGATTCTATTGTAAGAAAATCATATCAGAGCCATGTCACTTGGGAACAACATTGAGAAGAAACATGTAAGAATAATAATATGACAGTAATAGTAAGATATTTTAACTACCCAAATATAAATTTGGATAGTTCAATTATGCAAAGTAGCATGGAAGCAAAATTCTTAAATTGTATCCAAGAAAATTTTTTAGCCAGTATGTAGAAAGCCCAAAAAGGAAGGGACAGTTCTGGACCTATATTCAGAAATGAGCCTGGCCAAGTTTTTCAGTCAGGAGGCATTTTGGAGATAGTAATTTACGGGATTTATGCTGGGCCATGAATAAAATTTCATTGGGAAAAAATTCTGTGGGTCAGAATATATTTTGCTCGTGGAGAGATGCAGATTAACTAGGGATAGTCAGTGTGTATTTGTTAAGTGAAGGTCAAATGCAAACTCTTTTGGTAATGCATTTTGATGTGGTTTAGATGGACTTTAGCAAGGCTTTTGATAAGGTCCCTCATGGCATACTGGTTAAGTAGGAGCCCATGGAAGTCAAGGCAAAGTGGCATATTGGAACCAAGACTGACTAAGAGGCAGGAAGCAGCAGGCAATGGCAAAGGAATGCCTCTGTGACTGGAAGTCTGTTTCCTGTGAGATTATATAGGTTTTGGTGCTGCAGTCCTTGCTGATTTTGCTGTATATTAATTATGTGGGCATAACTGTAGGGCGTAGGATAAAGAAGTCTGTTGATGACGTGAAAATTGATCAGGCGGTAAACAGTGATGAGGATAGGCGCAGGAAGATAGCATTGGACTTCTCAGCCAGGCAGAGCAGTGGAAAACGTAATTCAACTTGGAAAAGTGTGAGGTAATGCATTTGGGGAGAGCTAACAAGGCAAGGGATTGTATTTTGAATGCAAAGAAAGTACTGAAGATTCAAGAAACCTCAATGTGCATTTCCACAGATACCAAAAGGCAGCAGAGCAGGTAGATAAGGTGGTTAAGAAGGCATACAAGGTACTTGCCTTTACTAGCCAAAGCAATGTTATGCTGGAACTGTACAAAATGTTGGTTTGGCTACAACTAGAGTATTATATGCAATTCTGGTCAGCATATTCTAGGAAGAATATGATTGCACTAGAAAGGATGAAGGGGCAATTTACCAGCATGGTTTATGCCATGAGGAAAGATTTCCCTTGGGCCGTGAAGATTGAGAGGGGACCTGATAGCATTAAAAGAGGCAAAGATAGGATGCATAGCCAGGCACGTTTTCTATTATTATTAGCCAGGGGCATGGATTTATGGTAAAAGAAAAGTTGAGTAGAAATGTTTTCACCTAGAGGGTGGTGGGAGTCTGGAACACATTGCCTGATAGGATTTTGGAAACCCTCACAACATTTAAGCTGTATTTCAATATTCAAGGCTATGGGCCACAAGCTGGAAAATGGAATGAATGTAGTCAGATGTTTGTTGACCAGCATGCACACAATGGGCCAAATGGCTTTCTTCTCCGCTGTAAATGTCTGAGTCTATAAGCATTTTTGCACATAAAGTTAGTGGAAAGCTAGAATTTACTCACCTTAAAACCTGTGGATATTTGGCGACAACTGGGGCTTTCAAGGATGAAATACATATATTTTTATTTGGTAAAGAAACCAAAGAATATGGAGCAAATGTAGGAAACTGGATTTGTGCTATAAATCAGCCATGTTCTAAAAGAAAAGCTCAAGAGGTTGAATAACTTTTTCCTGATCCTAATTTTCATAAATTGAACTGCATATAAAATTATATTTACAAATCATCTGTAAAACTATACTTTCCAATGAGGTTCTGGAACCAACAAGTGAAGGACATTAACATTGAAAAATGGAAACTTTCTACTTTGATCACCAACAGTTAGTAGCACTTCCTGGTAAGGGACGACCCAAATTAGATGCAGACTTAGGCTTCCTCTAAACAGTCCAATCAAAGACTCAGGGTAGGTACAGGGGAGGCACTGGGCTAGTAGTGTTATCACTAGACTATTAATCCTGGTTTGAATCCCACCATGGCAGGTTGTGGAATTTGAATTCAATGTCTGGAAATAAGAGTCGATTGATGACTGTGAAAGTGTCTTCGATTGTCAGGAAAAGCCCATCCGATTTATTATTGTCTTTTAGGAAAGGAAACAGCCATCCTCACCTGGTCAGGCCTACAAATGACTCCAGACCCACAGCAATGAGGTTGAGTCTTAACTGCCCTCTGGGCAAATAGCGATGGACAATAAATGACATTCACATACAGTGAATTAATTTTTAAAAGGCATGTGTTAGATGCAAAATAAAGTTCTTAATTTTAATTGACATTGTTGAATAGATAAGACCATGACTGGAACAAAAACAAAGTTGCTGAAAAAGCTCAGCAGGTCTGGCAGCATTTGTGAAGGCAAAAACAGAGTTAATGTTTCGGGTCTGGTGACCCTTCCTCAGAACCAGTCACCGGACCCAAAACATTAACTCTGTTTTTCCCTTCACAAATGCTGCCAGACCTGCTGAGCTTTTCCAGCAACTTTGTTTTTGTCCCTGATTTACAGCATCCACAGTTCTTTCGGTTTTTATTTAAGACCATGACTGGGCTTGTTTATGTCATCAACACCAAAAACAATCTGCAGAAAGACTGTCTAGGCTTGAATTTTTCAAAATTACAATGTGTAGTGATTGTAACGAGGTCAACCAGGTGGAGCTCATAGAATATGAGTTCCCTGACTGGGATGTTAATCTGGCCCAATCAGGGAGTCCTGGCTGTCAGATATAAACAGGAGTGTCAGAGGTTCTGTTCACTCTGAGAAAGCCAGACCAGTGTTAATTACTATGCATGTATAAATAAAGCATGACCTGGTGACAGGATACCAGTCTATGTGGAGTTATTTCTCAAGGGTCACATTGTTGCTGGAAATGTATGTATGAATCATAGAACCCCTACAGTGTGGAAACAGGCCCTTTGGCCCAACAAGTCCACACTGACCCTCAGAGAACCCACCCAAACCCATTCACCTATCACCCACCTAATCTACATGTCCCTGAACACTACAGGCAATTTAACATGGCCAATCCACCTAACCTGCACATCTTTGGACTGTGGGAGGAAACTGGAGTGCCTGGAGGAAACGCACACAGACACAGGGAAAATGTGCAAACTCCACACAGACAGTCGACTGAGGCTGGAATTGAACGCAGGTCCCTGGTGCTGTGAGGCAGCAGTGCTAACACCGTGCCACTGTGCCACCAAATGGGAATGGGGCCCCATGGCCCCTGTATCTGAACTTCAGACAGAAAAGATGAAAAAAATAGAAATAAAGTTCTAAGGTTACCTGCAGAGATAGACTGTCAGTCATTGGTGATGGGTGGAAAGTTGGAAAACCATGAGGTGAGGCTTGTAGTTGGTTCAGCATCAAACCACATGTAGTACCTAAGTGGGACACGAAGAATATTCAGTTAAATGTTGATGCCTTTGAAAAATATACCCTTCTATTGAACCGAAAAAAAACCTAAAAACACCAGCTAAACTCCATATGATTGATAGACAATCCACTATGAAATTAAAGGCATCTGCTTATTTTAAGAAAAAGCTGTCTGGTTTTTCAATTTCAATGAAATCCATTCTGATTGACAGTTTTAAGAGTTTAAAAATTGGTTAACTGTCTTCAACGTCACAAGTGAATATGTTTGTTTTTACAACAGATTGACTATTTGAGAGAATTTAATTTTGTTTTGGATGTATTTGATATATTTTTTTCACGATCAAGTGTCTTTGAATATTGCTGCCCTATTGGATTACTGGAAGTTTTTTTTTCTCATGCAGACACTGGGTCAATGGCTATGAAGGTACATGGAGGATTAGGAAGGTTTATAAACTGAAGGGGTATAGGAAGTATGAAAGGCCTTGGAGGGTCCATGTGGGGCATTTTTTCCCTATTTTTGCTCTCCATTTGTCTTAAAGGCACTCACACAACCAGGGGTACATTTACACATGTACTGGTAGCCCTGTACCACCTCATCTAATGACTATTTATCATATCTTAGCCTTGACAGTGGATGCCTGAGGAATGTTCCCACAGACATGGCTCAGTTTGTACTATATTTGAATTTCTACATGTGATGCTCGAGCCCTGACACCCTTACATAGTAAAGAAACAGACTATCTAACCAATACTCCCTGCCATGGCACAGCGTTTTGAGTCAAAATGTTATGGGTACAACACCACATCCTGAGACTTGGGCACATAACCCAGGTAATCATACTCAGCACAAAATGAAATCACTGCCAGAGGTGCTATCTATAGGAGAAACAGTGAACAAGCACAGTTATTCAAAGAAGACCAGGGAAGTTTTTCCCAGTGTCATCTATAATGTTATTCCCCAATTAACATAACTGGAAGGACTGTATCTTTTTATTTTTGCGTCTTTAAAAGCTTTGGGCTGCAATGAGAAAGAATTGATTTTAAAAAACAGGGATTTACTAGGCTGGCAGCAAGAAATTTGATACCTATTATGAACTCTGTTTTTGTTCCTGCAAAGTACAGGTGATCAGAAGCCAATGAGTTGTTTATAAGTGAAGCAAATTATTTCTCAGTAATTGAGCAGTTTGGAACTGGAAACAAGTTATAGAGACACAGGCACAGAGAGAGAGAAAGACATTGATGGATGCAATTGTTCTCCCCAGCAGTAGCTGCCAATTGTCTACAGTAAAAGAAAATCAATTTAAGCTTGAAGGAAACCAGCTACCTTTCCTGAAGCGGTTCAATTGAACAGTGACTTTTGAATTGATAAATCAAAGATTTGTACAAGGGAACCATCCATTCTGTGTCTTTACAAACGAGGGTAAATTTCCACAGAAAGAAAACTGAACACCGATGGTTCTGACCATCTGAAGAAGGATCATCTCAACATCAGAACTGGGAAGCAAAGACCACTCAACTGACTTTCCAGTTTTTCTACCTTGGCCATTATTTCTTTACCTTATTTCTTTACTTTTTGTCTGTGTGTTAGGGGGAGTTTATAAGGGATTTAAAGTTTTAGTAAGTGTTAATGCCAATAGTTTATATCTGTTTACCTGTAGTTATAGTCTAACTACTTGCAATAAATAAAAATCTTGGTTAGTACATTATCCTTGTCTGTGCTTTCTATCAACCTTGGTCAGAAAGTCATCTAAATGGGATACTGTGCATACTTCTGAAAAGAAAATTGAATGACTCCAGGAATGTGGAACTCAATTTATGTTATGCTACCCAGTGGGTTGTGACATCACTAAGATAGATTACCTAGTCATTATCACAATTTATTTTTGGGAACATGCTGTCTGAAAGTTAGTCATTACATGAAGATTCATTTTTTAGAAGTGCTTTTTTGCCTGTAAAGCACTTTAGGATATCGTTAGATTGTGTAAGGTACTATAAAATACATAGTCTCCTCTACATTGAGGACATGAAATACAGACTGGATGACTGCTTTGCAGAAAACCTATGTTCTGCCATAGAAATGACCTGGAGCTTCCAGTTGCCTGCCACTTCAACATACCACTGTGCTCTGATGCCAACATTTCTGCCTGTTGCAGTGCTCTAGCAAGGCTTAGCACAAACTCAAAGAATAACATCTTATATTTTGCTTGGGGACCCTGCAGCCATTAGGACTCAACATAAAGTTCAATAACTTTAGAGCCTGATTACATGCTTCCATGCTTTTTACCCACCCTCACACCCTAGTCCTGTCATGGTTATGTGTTTCTTTCAGCACAGCATACACATGCTGTCCTACTCCTGGCTCTCACTATCACTTATTAGCTTCTCTTCTGTTCTGGCTTGCTATCAATAATCCCCTTGTCTGCCTGCCCTTTATCTCTCTCTCTCCAGGCGCCATTTCCATCTATCTATCCACCTCTCCCCCCACCCTCCCCACCCCCTATCCCTGTCTTCAACATAAATACCACTTTTTCCTAGCTGCTATCAGTTCTGATGAAGAGTCAGTGGACTCAAAATATTAACTCTACTTTCTCCTCACAGATGCGGTCAGACTTGCTAAGTTCCTCCAGCAATTTCTATTTTTGATATAAAAATATGAGTCTGTCTTTTTTTTGTTGTGAACAACTTAACACTAAGCACATTTCTGTCTTTACCATTTACTTACACATGCTTACTTTGCAGAAATTATTCTTGTACAGTTAGATAGTCTCAGATATGATTGGTGTCAACATTCATGGAGCACTAGGTATCTACTGGCTCTCAATAAAAGTGAAACTGATAGTGAAACTCCAGTGTGAAACAACAGGGCCCCTGAAGTAAAAACTAAAAGAGACCACATGTAGCAGTAGGGTGACCTTAAAGGGGACTGATTGCAGCAGGAAATGTGCACATACCATTTAAAAAACCAACTCCGTTTTTCACCTTCTCTTCTCGTCTCCATTTTGCTCGTCGATTGGAAAACCAGACCTAAGTGAAGGTGAAGTACATGTAAATCAGTAACAGTAAATTTCAGTTTCACTTCACATATCTGGTGTTATACATCTAAATTTTAAAAGAAGTAATAAAAGTAATGTGCTGGAGAAACTCAGCATGTCCAGAGCATCTGCAAAGAGAGATAGAGGGTTAATGTTTTGAGTCCAATGAATCTTCCTGTGGAAAGAGATGTTGAGTTAATTTTTAGAGATCAATGGCTACCTAATGAGCACTTTTTGTTTTCATTTTGGAGTTATTCACCTGTCATTTTGAATCTAGGCAATCATATGTGGCACAGTGGCTCAGTGATTAGTACTACTGCCTCACAGCACCAGGGAGCCAGGTTCAATTCCACCCATTGACAACTGTTTGTGTGGAGTTTGCACATTCTCCCCATGTCTTTGTGGGTTTCCTCTGGGTGCTCTGGTTTCCTCCCACAGACTGGTGATTTGGCCATGCTAAATTGCCCATAGTGTTCAGGGATGTGTAGATTAAGTGGGTTATAGAGGGATGGGTCTGGTTGGGATGCTCTGAGAGTTATTGGGCCAAAGGGCTTGTTTCCACACTGTAGAGATTCTATGAAATGAAATATGTTGTCACATTAAACCATTGACTTTAATGGTAATAAAAATCAGGAGAATCATAATGGGTGAGTGATCTAATGTTATGCCCTCCAAAAACAGAGACTCTAACCAAGACTTGATATTCAATGGCATTATCATCGCTGAGTACCTCATTTTGAACACTGGGGGCAGGTCATTATTGACTAAAAACCTAATTGGGGCAGCATTATAAATATAGTGGCTGCAAGAGGAAATCTGAGGTTGTGAATTCTGAGGCAAGTTACTCATCTTCTGACTTTTCAAACCTTGTCCAGCAGCTACTGAGAACATGCCAGGAGATTGATAGAAAATTATCTATTTGTCTCAATCAATGTCATATCCAACACTCAAGAAGATCCATAGTACCCTGGAAAAAGTAATCCGCTTGATCAGCACTCTGTCTGCCAACTTAAGCATTCATTCCTACTGCCAACAAAGAACAGTGGCAGCAGAATGTACTATCTACAAGATGCACTGCAGTAATTAATGAAAGTTTCTTTGACAGCACCTTCAAAACCCCTCCAACCTCTACCACCTAGAAGGATAACAGTAGCAGATTCATAAGAACACCTGCAAGCCATATCACTATTCCTTCACTATCACTGGGTCAATGTCCTGGAATTGCCTTCCAAACAGCACTCTAGATATACTGACACCAGATGGGCTGTAGTGGTTCAAGAAGGTAGCTCACCACCACCTACTGAAGCATATTTATGGATGAGAAATAAACGCTGCCTTGCCAATGACACTCACATCCAATGAAAGAACATCAAAAACTCTGTTGTCCAGAAGTATTATTATACTTTCAATCCACACCAGCATGGCATTATTTAACTTTCATTCTATACTGAAGGAGCCACAAGCTACATTTTGCGGGCAAATCAACTGTGAGTAAATACTGCAGTTCCTACTATCTCAGTAAACACTGACCTTGTTCTAATATTCAGAAAAGGATTGAGATTAATTATAGATACTGCAGTGTGGAAGGGTATGAGGTTTGAGTTAGGGTAAATCTAATTTGAGTTCAGCATGTTATGCACTGATTATGCAATTTAGAAATGGAAGTGGAAACAGGGCCAATTGGGCTCTCAGTCCAAAGTTATGAAGTAGTAATGGCTCACAATGCTATCCCCTCACCTCTGGCCAAACTGTTAAGTATTATTATACTAACCTCACTACAAAAGAATTACTCTTTTCTCATATAAGTAGGCAGATACATGGCAGATGATATTTCTTGCAGTGTGATGAACGTGTTTAATATATTACTAACAATTGGGAATTTGAATTTTTAAAGTCATGGCACTGAAATTTGTTTTCAGTTCTGTGAAGGTAATTTTTCATAAGAGGTCAGAAAGTAATTTGGAACAGTGACTTAAGTACATAATTTCCAATAAAGCAAGTGATTTAGTTAAGTGGCTAGCAGGATTCCTGTCATTTTACTTGACGAAATGTCTATACTGCTGAGTTTATATCAGACAGAGAAATCAGACCAGGAGCCAAGTTCAGTTTTGACTTCAGTTCAGAGTGGCCAGAAAGATTCAAATGAGGCCGAACAATAACTTGCCCATATTTTTGGAGCAGTGGGTGAGTTTCCAATTCAACTTATTGCATACACTCAGAATCAGCTCCAAAGGTATTTATCAATTAAGGGGTTCCTTCATGGATGTCAAGGATTTTTCACATGGAAGTTTTATAGAGCAGAACATCCATTTAATGTTCAGAAATTGGAAGGCAGCTCATTGGAAATAGAGATGGAATCCTTACCCGGATTCTAGCCTCTGGAAGAGATGTTTTTGAAGCTAATTTTTCTCGTACAAGCACATCTGGATATTGCGTTCTTCTGAATTCTGAAAGCACAACAGAAACATTACACAAACATGTTCTTATTGAACAAGGTATGTATTAAAAACATAAGAAATAGGAGCAGGAGTAGGCTCTACAAGGTTGGTCTATACACTGTTCAAAAAAATCATGGCTGTGCTTTGATCTCAAGTCCATCTAACACCTCACCCCATTCCCCATATTCTTCGATCCTAATTATACAAAGGTCATTGATCTCAGTTTTGAATATGACTGAGCATCCACAGCTCTCTGGGATAGAGAAATGCTAAGATTTGTAACCCTTGTGAGATTTTTCTCTTTTTGTCAGTTCAAAATGGCCTTGATATCTCCAACACAACAGATCAAGGACTGATAGGATTTGGGCTCAATCCATTAATCTCAGCATAGTCTCAAGGAATTGCAACATTATCGACATGAAAACTGGAAATTGAGGAAATAAATCTCCAAAAGAAAATCCCCATATTTTTCTAACCAATGTCATGGCAGGTACACCAGAGGGGCAGTGGTATGGATCTGGTAAACAGCTATGTCAGGTCACTTATTTGACATGGGATATCATTCAGTTAAATTATATTTACCACTTTGGATTGCAGAAATTTGTTGAAGAAGGAGAGATCCTTAATGCAAAGAAGTATTTGAAGTGAAATCAAGATTTTTTTGTATTTGTCAGTTGCATCAAGTACTCCCATATCAAATATAACATAGATTACATAGGGAATTAAACTCCCTCTACACAATCCCATCAAACACTGCCTGTGCAGTTACAATGAGCTATACACAATTCAATGCACCCCTTACTTTGTTCCATCAACTATTACTTGGGCAGTTATAGCATCGGGTAACCACAGAACAAATCTCCCGCTATACTACCTCATTAAACATTCCCAATCAGATACATAGCTCTCTGCAAGATAATAGTTACAAATTTATTTGCTGTTCCTTTTATGTACACAATATTGATCTCCTTATGCCCTAATGGTGCCATCACTTTTGTGATTATCCTTTATTTCAGTTTGCTAAAAAGATAATCATCTATTACCTTCTCTGTTGACTATTATTTTATTTTCAAACTCATTGATGTTCCGGATGCTCTGGTTTCCTCCCACAGTCCAAAGATGTACAAAGTAGGTGGATTAGCCATGGTAAATTACCCGTAGTGTTCAGGGATGTGTAGGTCAGGTGTGTTAGCCACTGGAAATATAGGGTAGGGTGACAGGTCTGGGTGGTTGGTGTGGCTCTTCGGTAGGTTGGTGTGGACTTGTTGGGCCAAACGGCCTGTTTCCACACTGTGGAGATTCTATAAATTCTATAATTCAGTTCTATAATTTTTTTTCTCATTTCCCTTTTACTTCTCCTCTGTTATTCACTTACCTCCTAGATACCGTCTGTACTAGTGATATTGTTTTGGTACACCTCATACTTAGAATTAATGAGGATAAATATTCTCCAGTCTTCTCTCCCTTTCCAACATTAACTTCAACATGAGTTCTGCAGCAACTTCAGTGAATTAAATTAAACATCTGGCTAAGTAGCAACACACTTTCTGAATTAATCAGTTATGCTCCAGTCCAGAAACCCAATCAAAGGATTGGTGATACACTATCAAATGTGCTATCTTTAAGCCAAGATGTTAACCATTTACTTCTTCCCTCCTCACCATCCAAGGCCCTAGATACACCTTCCAGGTGAAGCACTGTTTTATCTGCACTTTACTCAGTCTAGTCTACTGTAATCACTGCTCGTAATATGGTCTCCTCTGCATTGGGGAGATAAAATGCAGACTGAGCAATTACTTTGCAGAACACCTACACTCTGTCTGTACAAATGTCCCTGAGCTTCCTATTCCCTGTTAATTCAACACACCACCCCGTTCCCTGGCCAACATCTCTGTCTCAGGCTTGTTGCAGTGCTCCAGCAAAGCTCAGCACAAGCTGGAAAAACAGCACTTCAATCTCCACTCGGGGACTCTGCAGCCTTCAGGATTCAATATCAAGTTCAATAATTTTAGGGCCTGAGAACCTTCTCCCATGTCCTCACCCCTGCAAATCAGGCCTAGTCATCACATGGGTTGCTACCATGACTATTCCATTGTCAGCTACTAATAGTTGCAATTAGCAGATATTGATTCACCCAGGCTGACCTCTACCCATTCCTATGTCTATCCAACTGTTGTTCTCTGTTTCTCAGGGCCTCATCTCCACCTATCATTTATTCCTCCCCCTCCCCTACCCCATCCTTAGCATATCGTCTTTCTGCACCGTAGGGATTCTATGATTTGATATATGCCAACATTTTCCTAGCTATAATCAGTTCTGAATCATTAACTCTGCTTTCTCTCTGCAGATGGTGACAGATCTTTTGAGTTTATCCAGAAATTTCAGTTTTTGTTTCAGATTTCCAGCATCGACAGCTCTTTGTTTTATTATAGCTGTATTTCATTAGGCTCTATTGGGAAATTGTGAGGACGTGAAAGACACCATTAGAACACAAGTTATTTCCTTTACAATCTGTGAGATTTTGATCAACAACTACTTTTGCCCAGTCCTAACTGCAAACATGTCTATACCTTTCTCTAACTCCTCAGCCTGCCTTTGTGTGAAAACGGTTCGGTTCCTTTGCTGACAGTTTGGCTGAACATCCTCAACAAAATCAGATGACAAGATGTTCAAAGTTTCACCCGTTTCCTGCTCTCCAAAATCTGAAAGAAGAACACAAAACGAATGAATAAAAGGTGAGTGTGTAGAACAGAAATTTTTTTGCATCATCAAGAAATCACAAAGGTGATAGAGCACAGTACCAATTCAGAATGAAGCTCAACAGTGTTCTCTAATTCCACTCTGAAAATTACAACTAACTAAAAAACCATACATTTTCTCATTTCTCACACCAACCATTTTTAAGATGCATCAGAAGTTTAAAGTTCCACCACGGGAATATGAACACATAATCAAGTCTGACACTTCAGTGCAATATTGAAGGAGATTTGTGCTGTCAGAAATACTGTCTTCCCAACGAGAGGTTAACTGAGACTCCATCTTCCTTCTCGGGTTGAAAGATTTCAACAGAGTTGGGATTGAGAAATGACCTGTACTTGTTGAGGACATCAAAACTGGGGTCCATGATATAAGGTATTTGCAAATAAATCCAATTGTGAATTCAAGAAATCCTTCATTATCTGGTGAGAATGTGGAACTTGCTATGACAGTGAGTACTTTTGGAGAATTGTATGAACTCATTTAAAGAGAGGCTACACAAACACATGAGGGAGAAAGGAGTAGAAAGACATGGTGAAAGAATTAAATGGTTAAAAGTGGGAGGAGGTGAATGTGGAATAAACAATAGGGTAGGTTTAGAAAAACTATTTCTTCTGGTGTGGGAATCAGCAATAAGGTAATACATTATACTATACAAAGGATGATATGAACTTGGAATACTTTACACCAAAAACTGTAGATGCTGGGATAATAGGAATGTTCAAGGATAAAATCAATAGACTTTAGTCAGGTAACATTATCAAGATATCAAACAAAGTTGGATAAACTAAATTGAGACACAGATCAACCATCGTCTAACTGTGAGGTAGAACAAGTACAAAGGGATGAATAGGGCTCTCCTGTTCCTATATTCAGAATTAAAACTGCTGTTGTGCAGAATATACAACTAGCCATTGAGTGATTTTAAAAAAAAATTTTGTGTCCTTGAAAATTGAGCAATTTTGGAAAAGTTGCCTTTAAAGTATCTATCTCGAGCTGTTCTGAATAGGTTATGGTGGGTCTTCTGTGTGCTGATATTGTTTGAATGATGGTCATTTGGGAAGGAGACTCAGACACGTCATTAATTCAATAAGGACAGACCTTGAGCTTTGCCTGCAAAATGATAGCAATAACCTGCACAACTCCTCTACCTGCGCTTAAAAGGACTGGCAACTTGAATGAACTATTGTGTAGTTTTATTCTTATGTTCTCATAACCTCAGCATATTAAAATATCATCCTGAGCTCAGCGACAGGCTTTACAAAATCTGTTATTTATGGCTTTGTTGTTTGCCCTTCTTGACCTCAGTTATAATTTATTTTTCTGTTTTACTATTGCTTCCATATTGGAAGCAACCCCACCTCCTGTCCATTGGTTCCTTGTTGTGACCTCAGATGTAGAGATTTGCAGGTCAGACTGCAGGTTCCGCAAGACTCGATTAATAGAAGAAACCTACGAAAGACGCAAAGAACAGAGTTGATAATTGTTCATTCATGTATCTTTACAAAATCAATCATGAGCATTGGCTCTTTCAATATAAAATAATATGAATGTATTGATTCACTGATTTTCATTTTAAGGTATGTCAATTCAACACTGATGCAATATTGGTGATAAAATACTTAAATAGGTTACACAAATTTGCCACACTCCTTTGTGTTTAGAAAGTTGAGGGGTAGTATAATTGAGATCTTTAGAATGATTATGGAACTAAATAGGATAGATACTGTACAGAGAAATAATTTCCTCTACTCGAAGAATCTTAAAATAGAATCTTGGTCATTTAGGACTGAAATTCAGAAGTACTTTTCTTCAACCGAACTTCGGTGTAAATATAAAACTCTGTTTGGACTGTAGACATTGGAACAGTTGGAAATTTCGAGATTGAACTGCATCGATTTGTGTGAAGGAAATATACTGAGAGATATATATAAAGGAAGTATAAATGATTTCAAAGTATAGATCACCCATGGTCTAACAAGTATGGCAGAGTTGGCTTGAAATGAAGGGATCATTCTTTCAAAGATAAAAGAAAGATTCACATTGGTGCAATTAGGGCTGTACATCTAATACCTGGACACATAAAAGAGCACTAAGAATCAGAAGGTGGTGAAACCTTGGTATTCTCTATCTCAGAAGGTTTTATAAACTCAATCATTGAGCATGTTCAATACAGAAATTTGTAGATTTCTGAATACCAATGACATCAAGGGATATGGGGATAGTGGTGAAAAATGATGTAGATATAAATGATCAGTTAGAACCTGTTTGAATGGTGGAACAAGCCTGATTGGATGAATGACCTATTACTGTTTGTATTTCCTATGTTCCTGAGATTAGATATATCCACGTTGGACTTAATAAGTTTTATCCTAAAGTAGGCAAAAGATATATGCAACTCAACATCAGATATTGCCTTCCACTGCACCAGTGACAGCTAAACTTACACAACCATGAATGAACTTCTTTCTAAATTAATTAGAAGAATTCTTATCCTGTGAGCCTAAGCCTTCTGCAAACTGAGTTGAAACTGCACTGTTACACCGAGCCCTTACAATTGGCAATCACACAAAAAACTTTTATCCTACCAATATAAACTAGATTTTGTTCAAAAAGGTGACATAGTCACAATGGGCTAAGTGGAATTCCTCAATGCTGTTAGATTCTATTATTTTAACCTGCTTGTTGGTGAAAAAATGTTTAGACTTATCTGGAATTTGGAGTTCATAGGTACATAGAAAAGAATTTATTATCAAACTTACACTAGGAATTGTGTCCTTGGTGCAGATTCCTTCTGACAATAACCTCCCACGGATTTCCCGGGCAAACATTGATGGATTATTCCATTTAAAGTGAGCAATCTTAGCCACCACCTCTGGGGTTGACAGTCGTGGTTTACTCCCACCAATTGCTTTTGGACCAAAAGAGCCTGTTTGGTAGTATCGGCCCAGAATCTTACTCACACAGCCATTAGAGACCTGCATTGGAGAGAAGAAGCAATAATGTGCCACGCCTGCAGTAGGTTGCTGTAAGATGCTGTGATGTGCTGTAGGGTTCAATATAGTGCAGTAAGGTGCATTAGTCACTGCTCAGATGACAATCATGATGATGAAGCAGCAACCTAAATTTATACAGCACTTCTAAATGACCCTTTATGTATGCCAAACCAACACCACATTGGTACAAGAGTTAGAAGTCCCTTCTGAAATCTGTCAAAGATAGGTCTTCATGACACTTTTGAAAGTGAGGAAGGAAGATGACAGATTTTCAGGAGGCAGTATTAAAGAATAGGGCTGAGGCACCTGAAGACTTTGTCACTGATGAACCAAGGAATGCAGTAAAATTCAGGAGATCAGTGCATCTAGGATCAAAAGTCACAAGCTGTGACAAAAGTCCAGAGGACATTGCAAAGACAATGTGGGTTGAGATGATGGAAAGAATTGAAATTAGGTGAAAGATTTCAATTTTAATACAGTAGGCTTGAAAAGTGATGGGTGAACGGAGCAGTGAATGAGATTTAGTACAGGATGAGGAGCAGCCACAGAGTTTCAGATGAGTGGAGTTTGTGTTGGATACTGTTTAACAAACTGATATGAACAACCAATGAAGGTCAAGTGCCGGATAACTGAAAACATGGATTACGGTTTTAGCTTTGAGAAGTGTATTTGTGGGGAAAAAGTAAGTTGGCATCTGTGAACAATCTCTAATAGATTGGATGTAAAATCTTGAGCTCAGTTTAATGTTACGTCTTCTGGTTCATCTTAAGTGAAGGACAGGGATGGAGTCAGGGAAGGTTATGTAGTTATTGACAGCAAAAAGTGTGATATCTTTGATCTTGCCAATGTTCAGCAAAATAATTTTCTAGCTAAACCAACTCTTACGGCAGTTGTTTGTAGCACTATGTTCATTCCCTCTAGGTTTATCAGTTGACATTGAATTTTCAGGTGCAATTGACATTATTAGCAATTCATTTGAGACTAGCCCAGTTAATTTCACTTGTACTTTTATATACAATAGACAGGGAAGCCATTCATCCCTTTATTCTGGCCTGGATTCAGACATGAACAGTTGGATTTTCCTGCTGCGTATTTGATAATCCTAAGAAGCTCAAGCAATATTTAAATATTGTTGACCTGTAAAATCCTGGAGATGTCACATGCCCTGATGCCACCAACTGCCATCTCTATGATCTTCTTCCGCTTACAGGTGGGCAAGGGGCGACCATTCACAAAGACACCTCCAAGTTGATTCACACAGCCCACACCTATAAATAGAGAAGGCAGAGAAGAAATGTAAGATTTATTTTTTACCCATTGTTTTACAAGTGGTTATCAGGCAGTCTTCAAGTCTAAACCCAGTGTCTATCTTGTAACCCATTGTCTGTGGGGAGCACTCAATTTGGTTCCCATCCACAATGTATACAGACTTTCAGGCAAGCATAGCTGTACAGAGGTCAGGATTATAAACCCTGGTCACATACTTAGCCCAATGATACTAAGGTGAAATGCACCCATCCTGTCACTATTCCAGCTAAGACCGGCTAACTCAACACAGGCCAGGCACTGAAACCCAAGTCTGCACTGAATGTTGCGCCGTATTCTAATCACCCGCTGGGTGTCTTCCTATGCAGGACTATGGACAGCGCTCTTAGTTCAGAGCTCTACAAATCGGAAATGTTGTCGCTACGGACGGAAAATGCTGCGATTCTCAATACGGCAGCTGCAGCAAAGTTCATTTAACTAAATGGCATTTAGCTCTTGGTATATCTATCACTTATAATCATATTATTTCGAGCCTCAGTAGTTCATTCTACGGGTTTGAGTACACATTCAAACCGAATGCATTGACAGAAGCGATGCCAACACTGACATCCCGCGGGCGGAAATTGTTTCAGTGAGATTCTTCTCCGATTTTTATGTTCTCCGCACTAACGAAGACAACTTTATGATCAGTTCAGATGAAAAGTCCAACAAGTACTGGAAATCTGAAATGAATGGCCAAGGCCGAAACATTAAGCGATCTTTTCAGATGTTAACCTGTATTCTAGAATCGCCTGTGACAGCTACCGAAAAGAATCATTAATAAATAAATTTAAACCATCACACGTTGCAAATTTTTCTCAAAAATTGAATGGTTAAATACCTTTATATGACATTGTTTCAGATTCAGATTCTGTCTATTTTCATCATTGATTGGTGTTCTGCAAAAAAGTCAACAGTCAGAACAAATTCCGCTTATATTTTGGTTTAATGTTTTAGTTCTTCGGGTGAGGAATGTTAAATTAGGGAACGCACTTTCCAGGCCAGTCGCAGGTATTCCCTGTTGAGGCAGAGCGTGCTTTGGTAGAGCCCCACTACATTGCCCCAGTTTTACAGTCTCAATTTTCTGTCTAACGGATAAGCACGAATTGTTCCGAGATTACCATTTTTGCAACTTTAATGATTTTGATCTCTGTCACAAGAATTTAATAGGCAACTTTTTTTTAAAAAAAGAAATCAAACCAATAAACAACATGAGAGCCTTTAGAGAGACTCGAGACGCAATCCAGAAAAGGTTAACAATCAGAGACTGTTCCAATGGATTTGGGAATAAGCCATAGTGCTATCTATTTCCGAGAACAGTAAGAAATCAAACAATTGCATCGATTGACTCATCAAGATAACGGAACGGATTTTAAAGAACAAAATTGAGGAGTATCTATACGAAATAAAATCTAATGTCTAATGCACAACACCGTTTCAGAATGGGCAATTTTTGCTTCACCAACCTTCTTCGACTTTTTTGAAATGATACGCTAAGTGAAAGTTAGAAAGTCCCAAGACATGGTGGGGCCAAATTCTGGTCATTCAGATCACGATTCCAAAGCAGGCACGGAGAAGAAACCGCCGTCTGATTTTATTAAGCTCAACTATGACTGTGGGACATAACCACCAAATGGAAAATGTTCATGACTGAGGTCAGAAAGCCTTTCTTCTCACAAAACAAAACTCGATTTTTCAAGAGGAATTGATCTTTCATCAGGCTTTCAAGAACTGAATACTAACTCCTCTCTTTAATTCATTCTCCACCGTGATGTTATACCATCCCTACATTATTACCAATCACAAAGCTTCGGCAATCTTCACCATGTCCACCACATATGATATGAACCCCAAAAAGAATGACTTCCTCTCCATTTGCCAACCTTACAGAAGCTCAGTTCTCCAGAATACTTCTGTTGACCCTCGCACCACCACAATTTCCAAATGTTCTATTCTTGGCACTCTCTTACATGACCAGAGACACAATCGACATCTGTCCATTTACCTATCCCTACATTCCTGTCCAGGGAGGGCTCCAATGCTTCTTTCCATGGTCAACAATTTATACCTACTTTGATGCTAACAATACAAATTTTACAGGGGAGATCAAACACTGATCATATTGATTTTTGAGTTTCTTACCTTTCTAACCTTTGCTCCCACTCACCACTCTGGCTGTCCTATCTGTAGCCTTTCTCCAAGTATGAAGCAGTATATCTTACATCTAAACATTTTTTACAGCAGTGACTACAGTACACAGGTCATTTGTTGACCATAGAGAGCTTTCTGGGTTTGTGAAAGATGGAATTTCAATGCAAGTCTTTCTTCCTCTCTGCTGAAAACAATGCAATCCTCTGGTGTAAGTACTGAGTTTAGTAAATTTAGATCTCAATGGTTTCCACAAATTTCATTTCAAGCAAGAGTTGGTGAAGGTGAGGAGTAGGTCCACAGTCCCTGGGGAACAGGGAAAGCAGGTCAATGGCATTCACCCTACATGCCCCGTCCACCACTGAGAAGAGAAGAGCTGTAATGCTGTGAGAACATTATCATGCCCAAGTTTCCTTCAACCCTGAATTGGACCCATGTTAGCATCTCTTCTTCAGTACTCCATTGGTATCATGCATTTCCCTGTCTAACAGTCCAACATGATCAGCCGCCAATATCTCAGGGCAATTAGAGTGAGTATTCAATTTCTTCCTGGTTATTTTAAACATATATATATCATATACATACATATATAAATTACAGCTGAAGCAATTTTGACTTAGTTTACTGAGGCAAGGTTTTTGGAAGTACTTGTGCAGCAATTTAGAGATTATTTCTGTATGCTGGGAGGACTTCCTAATATTGCAGAGCTCCAATGATTCATACAAATTCCCATATTAACAAGGAGCAGTGCCACAAACACAAAGGTTACCTCTCAAATTAATGGGCAGTTAGTCTGTGACTACACTAAAAAAATCTCAGTGAATGCTTGTCATCCTTGCAGTACACATGTTGCTTTCATTCTGCACCAGTTGCAATACCCACCACTCTTGTGCAAGAGAAGACAGCTGGTCAATAACAGGAGCTACCACTTTCATTTATGCCTCTCTTTCCACCATCTCACCACATGAGGTCAGAATACATTTTGAAAAATAGTGACCCACAACATTGTGGATAAAGTCATTGGCCTCTTAAAGCAACAATTTTGCCCTTCAGATTGCCTAGGCATGGGCAAGTGTGTGTCCATGTTTGTGGTGGTAGGCTGTGCCACTGAGAAGCTTGTAATTCTGAAGGACCAGTGCTGGAGGAGGAGGTAAAGGAGGTGATGATGTAAACAAGGAGCCCACATCCATCATGTGTACCTGGGTGGAGCAATGGGAACAAGAACATTTTGAGGTTTCGCTTCAGTTAAAAGGAATTTCTCCATCTGAACATGGACCCACCATTCTTTAAATCTGATGTCGCTGTATGCATTTAGTCAACATAATTCAATAAACGTCAATAGCTAAAAAGTTTACTCAACAACTTAATCCAAAAACACATCAATAGTATGAAAAATTAACTAAGCAGTTTTATGCATCCCCTTAGTGCTTGTCTTGTATGAGAGACCCGTTCCCTTGCTTAGTAGTTATTTGCAGTTCTACCACAGTGGGTGCAGCTTGGTTGATTTAATGTTGATGGGTTGCAGTGGGGAAGTTTGCATATGGTCCGATTAGACATTTTCATGTACTTCCGGACCTTGAGGACCTGACTTCAGAGTGCATCACCTTGGAATGGGTGGCAGCAGTCTGGCTAGCAGTCTGAGTGACAACAAGAAGGAGAAGATGGGTGTGGTAATGATAATGTCACTGGATTAGTAGTCATGAGGCCCAGGTCAGGAAGGTGGATCAGATCAAGTGCAAACTCTCTAGTGGTTGAAGTTGTAAAGACCAAACCTTTGTAGACATGACAGATTGTAAGTTCAATTAATAGATTCAATTAGCCAATTAATGAAAGCTGCACTCAGTTATAGTGACCTTGAAACCATTATTGGTTGTCATAACGCACCATATGATTCATTAATGTCCTTTGGGGAAGGAAATCTGCCATGCTTACCCAACTTGATCTGTATGTAATGTGGTTACCTTTAACTGGACTCAAAAGCAATTGGGGATGGGCAAAAAATGTTGGCACTGCCAGTACTGCCCATATCTCATGAAAAATTAAAGTAAAAAAGACCAGCAATTATAACAGCAGTGATGGGAGGGTGAATATTGTCATTCTGACAGAACACAGCAGATCTGTTCTCAATTATGCTATTGCTGTTCCAATAGAGTGGCACCTCAGTAATCCTCATAATCTCTTTCACCATAGATTGCTGGACTACTTTGAGAACCTGCATGCCCCTTTGAACACTGAATTCAGACCGAGAGTAGCACCAATCTCAATCTGCATGGCAACAATTTGTGCCTGGGAGGCAGCTGCTTTTTAACATTCAGCAACCTAATGATCTCTATGTGAACTGGACTGAGACTTCAGGAGCCTCTGTCTTTGCAACAGTAAAATTCAGATAGGAATCAGCAGTTACTCCTTCATGGGTCAATCTGGCAATGATGCAATGGTGGCATTCACCACAAGGGAGAAGATGGGTTCTAAGATCTGAGAAATGCCATGTACCACATGGAGCTGAACTCCTCCAAACTCCTGGCTAATCACTGGAGTCTGTCTGGCAGGCCTGTCAATGCACTCAAATAAATATTTTTAATCAACCTGTTCAGAAATGTTATTACACTCTTCTGAAACAGGTGGGACCTGAACCTGGGCCTTTTGGCTCAGAGGTAGGGATGCTACTACTAAGCTACAAGAGCCTTGTCAATGCACTGAAACATTTCAGTATGCATCAATATTAGGTATTCCCTATAGTCCACCCCAACACAATACTTATCTGTGAACTCCGAGGGGAGGTCTTTGTATAGCCCACTTGTGCTCAACAACTCAC